CTCGCATTTTTGTGGAAGCGGCCATTAATTTCGCGTACATAGATCATTGGTACATTTTTGAATGTTTAACAAGTTGTTGAATATTAATACATTTTTTTTCTAAAAGTAATCCAAATTGCGTGGTTAGAGTAATTTTCAAACACAAAAGCTTTACCAAGTGTTACACTTCTACTTGTTATGTTGTGAACAATAACACTTGGCCACTTGCGATACCACAAACGTTCGTGGAGCGGTAATTGGTTTTAACGTCGTTAAGCCCGTTTTTTAACGTGATTATTTATTTCCCAATCGGGATCGCTATTGGTTATTGAATGTATCATATTCCTTAATTAACAAGATCCCGACTTTTTTATTTGCATCTTGTACCAATTGGCATCGTTTGTTTTTAGTTTTTTTGTCAGAGTTTGTTTTTAGTTATTGATGAGAGGTGCTTTTATTTATTGAATATCATCATATTCCATAACACGATTATGATATTCATACAGAAAGATGTATGCATAGCTGGATTTTAGTCTTCAACTCTTCATTCATGAAAAAAGAATAACATTGACGGAATTTTTAGGGAACTAACACAATAGACCTTTCAGACCATTCAAAGATCGTACTACAATTATATGCTAGAATTTTAACCAATAGAAAACATTAGTATTATAAAGATGAACAAAGTGTAATTATTACGGTGCATGATTTTAGACGGTCAAAACAATTCTTGAGCCATTAAAACACACAGTGAAACCCACATGGCACATTGGCACGATAGAGTTGACTTTTCACGTAGATACATTAATATATATACTAAACACATGTATAAATATCCACACATTGTTCTCGTATCTATATCCTTCAAGCTCAACAATGTCTGGACGCAGGTAATTTCCTGATCTCTCATAACAGTTTCTATTCAAATTTGTATATGTTACGTATATGTAATGATTTGTTGAATTATTTACAGATTGGAGGGCAAAATCGTAATTATAACAGGCGGAGCAAGCGGGATCGGGGCTGAGTCCGTTAGGTTATTTACGGAACACGGTGCTCGAGTCGTTATAGTCGACGTACAAGACGAGCTAGGTCAAAACGTTGTCGTTTCGGTAGGAGAAGACAAGGCGAGTTATTACCATTGTGACGTCACGAACGAGACAGAAGTTGAAAACGCCGTTAAGTACACCGTCGAAAAACATGGAAAGCTTGACGTTCTGTTTAGTAACGCCGGAGTTATAGAGATGTTTTCAAGCATCCTTGACTTAAACCTTGTTGACTTAGACCGAACAATGGCTATTAACCTCCGCGGTGCAGCCGCATTCATTAAGCATGCGGCACGTGCCATGGTGGAGAAAGGCACCCGCGGCTCCATCGTTTGCACCACCAGTGTCGCGTCTGAGATCGCCGGAACCGCACCACACGGGTAAAAACCAACATTTACTCTCTTTTTGTATAACTAATCGAATAATTCTCGACCGAAACTCATACATTTTCCGAGAATTTAAATAGATTTTTTTCTGGAATTAAGTCCGTACATCCCCTCAAACCAAAGAAAATAAAAAATTAGTTGGACATTTCAGCAAAAACCGAATATTTTTTGCTAAACCTAAAAAAATAACATTTCAGTTGTTTTGCTATATTTTTAAAATGTTATGTGATATTTGTAACAGCTACACGGCATCCAAGCATGGACTATTGGGATTGATCAAATCGGCATCAGGTGGATTGGGACAATATGGGATAAGAGTAAACGGTGTTGCTCCGTTTGGGGTTGCAACGCCGTTAGTATGTAACGCTTTCAACATGGAGTCACACTTGGTGGAGGAATTGACGTTAGAATCGGCGAATCTAAAAGGTATCGTGTTGAAAGCTCGCCACGTGGCAGAAGCTGCTCTGTTTTTAGCATCCGATGATTCGGCTTACGTTAGCGGACAGAACCTAGCCGTTGACGGTGGTTACACGGTGGTTAAGCCGTAGGCTATACAACAACAACTTGACCACAAAGATCCCATGATGATGATGAATTTTTTTTTAAAACAAATTATTGGGTCAAAAGTTTACTTTAAATATAGAGACATTGGGATTGAGAAGTTTCTGAAATTTGTAATTTTTCCTTGAAACGTGGGATGTTGTATTTTTTATATGGTAGTATCCATTATCCAACTTATTTGCACATCTCGAGGATAATAAACTAATCAACAAACTTGTTTAGACGAAAAAAAAAAAAATCAAATACAAACTTGTTTGATCGGATAATGGGCCTTTATATTCGTCTCTGAAAGCTCTTTATAAGGAGTTTGGGCTTACATTGTTATAGGGCTCTTTGCTCTTTTTTTTGGTGTGATTTTCTCAATTCTAGATGTGGTACATGCGGTTACTAAATAAAATTAAAATTCACGAATCATATCATATCCATATAATTGTGTCTATAGATATGTATCTTCAACTAGGATTTTTTTGTTCTTTCTTTTTCTTTGTGATTATGATATTGATACATATATCTTCATACATTACGAATGACATTATTAAAAAATAACAGAGAAATAATTAGTTCAGACGGATCACATATATCTTTAAAATATTGAACTCGCCGGTCTCGTTATAAATAAAATATATGTAGATAATGATGTCTATGGAGAGCAAATTTCGTTTTTTAAGCAATTGTTGATCAGACAACTAATGTTTGATTTTGTGTAATTAGAATAATAGGCCTGCCTGGAGCACGTGGAAAGTCTTAAATGGAAGTTAACTGAGTAAAATGTAAAATAAAATATAAATAACAGCTTAACATAAATAAACTTTAACGAAAATTTTCACCCTTTAGATGGATTATAAAGTCGAAGCATCTTCAAACATACAGAATAGACCAAAACCATTAAACCGTACATATATTTTTCAATTTTATCTATATTTATGCATAAAACTTTATGCACATGTTAAATAAGTTTTAAAAATA